AAACGGTTGCCCCTAACTTTTATAGTATGAAACTGAAAACCACATAAACTCTTTACCACTAGGACTTTGCCACTGTCACTGATGAAAAAAAATATTGAATGACAATGATCAAAAACTATCAATAACATCATTTAGCCCAAAACATCCGCAGCAGTATTTTCTGTAGCCAGTACAAATCATAATTTACATGGAAAGAGCTCTCTTTTGTCGTATGCCTCCTCACTTCTATCACTGACCTTTTTCCCATGGTGCCGCAATATACTTTTGATCTGCTTTACATGGCAACATACTCTGCTCTGTACTGTTTCTCATCTGCATTGCTTTTTTTCTGCACTTTCTACTACCTGCTGTGGTAGCAGTGTGGGGTCCAGGTTTTCCCCCAGGTTTGGGAGAAATCTGAAAAAGCAAATGCTGCAATTTCTTGCATTCACTGGCACCAGTAACAGCGAGTCCTACAGCAAACACAGGAAGATGGTTAGGCCTGCTAGCGAGAGTATTGAAAAACTTACTTTAGCGCATGGGGGCGTGTCTGAGCGGACGTCTAGAGACGCCCGCTCAGATCGAGAGAGCTCCTGGCCGGCCGTTTTTTTACTACGGCCGGCCCGGAGGTAGTTAAAGAAACATTACCATCAATTAACAATTTCAAGCTACTTACTTTAATACAATGTTTGGGATTAACAGTTACTGATGCTGCTGTTTGTAGAACTTTGTTGGTATCGGTACTATATTTTTTCATAGGAACTAATATCTAGATTACTATTGGCTATTGCAATTTGCAATAGCCAATATCAGGCTAGCTATTGCACCCGCCCACTGCTGCTGTCAGTCAGCAGCGGTGGACCTGAAGTTCTCCATCAGGTGCAGCTCTGCTGACTGACAGCAGCAGAGGGCGGGTACAATATCCAGCAACACATATTTTGTTGACTTTATCTCTAGCGCTGTGTTCCAAGTACTCTACCCTTTGTTTTTAGCATGCTGTCGTATGCACACTATAACAACTAATGATGCTGTGCAACTGACAGCATCATTACAACCAAGTGCACATGCACGGGAGTTATATCAGTGGGGTCCAGCCAATCAAGTGGCCAAACATTTAAACCCAGAGCAGAACCGAGCTGATGATGGAAGCGCCGAAGAGGGAGGAGCGCTATGCAGGAGGGGGTTGGTTTAGCAGGTATGCTATGCATACTAGAACATTATTGCTAAAAGCTCCTTGGGGAACTTTTTTATATTAAAAGGGTATACTTCCAGTTTAAGCAAGCTTTCTTCTCCATCACAATGGAGTTTGGTGGCACAAACAGGTAACATTAAATGTTTTCTTTGCAGTGACATCTTCTTTCCTTTTTTACATTCTTTTTCAAATAGCGACAGAGTCACTTCAAGGATGTTTGCTTAAAATACAGGTTTGTAGGTTTGTCATAATCACATCTTAAAAATGACCAGAGTTAGAAGGTATAAAAATATTTTTTTAAGCCGCCATTCTTTAGTGGTTAAATTCAACACTTAGATGTAATTTCATACTTTCAAGTATTGATTTGCAGCATCTGTTCCCTCTGAAAACACAGATAAGTCGCATCCAGTTGTAAAATGGCTCCCTTGTGGCTGTTTTCATTAGTTCCAGTTGTATGTATGAGTGCAGTGGGAGAATCTCCTCACCTAAAAAAACCCTACATGGTATAATCTGCTGTTTAGTTAGTTGTACTGTAGGAGTGTCCATGCACAAAACAGCAGGTCAGCAGTATCAAAGCATCATCACAGTTTACTACTAATGTTTTGTTTTTTTAAAGCCATAACCTGCTTATTAGCTGTGATGCATACAGTTTACACAAACATATATTTTATGTAAAATGTATATGAACAAAAAAAGAAGATGTGAAAAGCTGATGCCTGGGCAGTACCTAAAGATTTCCATTCACATATGTGAGAAAGAAAACATTGCTATTTGACCATTTTGGAATCTTTTTCATTCCCTTTTTCAGTGAGCAAATATTTATAGCCATTATTATAGTAATTTTTGGTTGTGGCTTTTAAGCTTTTACACAATTGTATTGTATCAAACACAGTTCACACATACACAGTAGATTAGCTACTGTTATTTATATATTTTTGCAACAATCAGCCTCCCTATCTAACTGTTAAAGCTGAACCCCTGGCAAACAACTAACAAACAGCTCTGCCACACAATACAGTCTTGTCTATAGGGCTGCAGCTAACAATTATTTTCAAAACCGATTAGTTAGCTGATTATTAAGTTCGATTAATCGGATTTAAAAACATAAAAACAATATAAAAAGGCTCCAGTGAGGGACTACTAACTAGTTTGTATTGAGATTGTAGTCCATCACGGAAGCAAGCTTGGAGCGTTGGAAGCAACAACAAAAAAGTGTGGTGTGCAGTATAGTACATTATACAGCACAATGCAGAATACCACCAGCGTTAGAGGAATACAACAAATCCCAGCAATAGTACATTATACAGCGGCACAATGCAGAATACCACCAGCTATAGGGATAATGTCCCAGAATTCAAATAGCAGCATACAGCAGGTATGGAACCACACGTCCCAGCAGTTCCAGTGCTCAGAGAGCAGCATACAGCAGTTACAGAAGAGAAAGTCTGAGAAGCACTACCTGTGGCTGCAGCTGCAAGGCAGTCCACCCAGGATGAATGTGGTTGCCATCCCCAGGGCAGTTGTCAGTGCTGTCATCTATAAAGCTTTCTTTTTAAATCTTCAGAGTGCTGCCTTAGCTCAGGCTCTCATCTGTCACTCAGCATATATTTTCTCTTTTAATGAGACCTTGTAGCCATGAGTATTTTTGGAGCAAACTCTAAGTTTTTTTCTTATTTTTCCTCTTCACATCCCCATGTGGACACAGGAAATGATTGATTAGGTGGGCTAGAAAAATCCACGTGTCCTCTCGTCTGTGACGAGAGTACGCCAGAGCCAACGAGTAGCTTCCCGGCTTGCCGTCTTTGTTATTAAACAAACAATCGCTTGTATTAGCAGCAGCTGTCACTGCCGCTCCCGAGATCCGCTGTGCCCGGCTCTGCTGCTCTGTGAAAAGAGATCAAAGGGAGTTCAGTACACAATCTCCCTCTGATCTCCTCTCCAGTCCCCGAATGCAGGAAGTGATGTATATTATATCACTTCCGCATTCTGCTGTCACTCTCCAGCTTCAGAAGCTGGGGAAGCAGATCTCTGCTTCATCAGCTTCTCTAAAGACCCCTGATGTCTCCATAAAGAGGACCTGTCATGTAAATTGGCAATCACATAGTTGGCTTCTTAGCCCCCCATGTGATAGCAATAAAGTTAAGTGTAAAAAATAAATAAAAAAAAAGAGTAATACAAAAATTAAAGAAGCATAAAAAATGTAAAAACACAATTTTTTTTAAAATGCCCCTCCCCCCACCTACACACGTAAACATGCGGTGGGTGCGCCTACGTGCGAAAACTACGATTGCGCCTATTGTGCTGCACATATTACATATACCCGCAAATGTGTGAGCAATAATTTTAGGGCCATTAATCGCTGATAACACTAAACTGATGAGCAGTAAAAGCGTAGCATATGACCAATTTTCGGTATGGTTGTTTTTTGCGATATTGCGGGCACGTGCAACAATTTTAAGGCTTGACATGTTTGGTGTCTATTTACCCGACGTGACCCCGTCTTTTATATTTTACCAAAAATATGGGTAAGAATAAATGTTTTCTAACATAACGTGAGGAAAATATATATTTTTCCCCCCAAAATTTATGGTACTTTTTTTCATTATATAGTAAAAAATAACCCCCCCCCCCCCCATGGTGATTATATACCTCCAAAAGAAAGCTCTATCTGTCCCTAAAAAATATTAACATAAATTGCAAATCCTATACATCAAGCTGATGATTTTTCTATTCTTCCTTTCCCTACAAACAGCAACAGATAGAAGAGTTTGGTAGAATAAAAAGGACAAATAAAGCTTAGGACTTAGAATGATATTCCCTTTTACTGTCTTTTGTATTGTTGAACTGCCTTTTTCCGTATTCAGCTAAGAGCAAGACTCTCACAATATTTAAAAATTAGAAAAACTCAAAAGCCAAAAGCAATAAATATAATTTATGAATCACCATTTACTTGGCTTTACAAAATATAACAAAAAGTGCAAGAGTACACCATAGTGATTTAGTGGCAAATGTAACATGTCTGTCTCTGTTAATTTAATTGCACTAGTTGAAATGTATTCTTTTGGGATTTTAGTTTAATCCTAATGGCATTCAAGGAAGGGAGCGGATACTGAGATGTGTCTCTTTTCTTTAAAAAAAAATGTCCATACTGTTAAGTCCATAATTGTATTATTTTGTTTAGAAAGTCTGAGTTTTCAGACACCTAAAAGGTGCTCCAGAAAATGGGATTGGATTAACCCTTTTGCTGTCATACCTTTTGCAAACATTGAAATAAAAACCGTTTTTTCATTTGCACATATCTTTGCCATGTTTTCTACCAAAAAATAATTTGGTGCCTAGACTCCGCCTATAACTAAAGTACTACCTAAGGGGACGGGCACTTAAAGGTTAATTTGTAAAAGTTCTGCCCGGGTATGCCATTTGCACAGCACTAGCGCCCCTAGATGGTGCTGACAAGTATTGGAAATTGCTATACTCATCAGCTGAATTTATTAGCTGGAAGCATTTTTAAAACAGAAAAGTGGTTGTAATGTAGATCAGTAATACTAGATTTTAAAGTTAATCAGCAACCTCTATAAAAATATATTTGCTCTAGTAAACAATATATTGGTGGTCAGCCCTAAGCATTCCTCTGTGAGAAGAATGCTCCAATAGGCTTGGAAAGATTACAATTTCAGACATTAGCAGGAACTATAACATGGTTTTATTGCCTGTTGAGCCTGCCAGTAAATCTGTTATTTTTAAACTTCCTTTGACAGACCAAGGTGTCTGGCAAAAGAGGCAATTAGAGGGTTGAGACATCGCTTCTCGGCCTTTTGGCTAAGATCAAGTGTAGTATCTGTTCTTATCAGTCAAAGATGCACAGGTAGCCAATTGCCTGTGTAATTGTCTGAGTACTGGAGGAGGCTGCGGACCCCGGGTTAACGACTCTTCGTTAATGGGTGCGCTTGGTGTCGAGCCTCTGTAAGGTGCTCTAGACTCCTGATAATGGGCAGATCCGAAACTTGATCGAGGCTGGAGGGCTGGGGGCGGCAGAAGCCCGTGGTGTTGTGCCCCCTGGGGGTGGCGTCCCAGGG